AAGAATCATTCAAACATCAAACTTCTTTTTCGAGGAAAATGGCTGTTCACAACGAAAGTCAGCAACGAATATGCCTTTGGTCAATGGGAAAACTTTCCTTAATAAGTTACATCGTTAAGAAGTGTTTTATTGCTGCACTCCGTTGACAGATCTCTGTGTACTTCGCATTTGTGCACGGTGAGGTCAAGTAAGAATGAAACACTTTTGAGCGTTTCTTTCACGTTCCTGAATAATACTAATATTTTTCAACCGTAAACGTAAGAACACGCCTTCCTCTATAAATCGAGGCCATTTTCACTGTTTTTGCTCATTTTAGACCCCATTTTTCCATTATAAATGCACGACAGAACGCCCATATAAATACTGACATTTTGCTGAAACTATTAATGGTTTGTGCCTTCCATTTCTGAATAAGTTATGCACAGAAACTAAACTACAAGTAGTGTTTCATATTTTCAAAACTGGAAATGACCATTTGCTGGTGGTCATTCATGTGGCATCAGGTAGAATTTTCGAAACGTCAAAATAATTTCAGCCCATTTAAACGAAGGAATCCCTATCTGCGTCATTAATGTACTTTAGGCCACCAAATCACACAGATCTCAGGTTGGCAAAAGTAAGAGATTCTGGTTGATAATCTGATGAAAATAAGGCGCTAACTGGTGAGCACCTCATTTTTCTCACACAAATCTGCTAATTTGACTTTTAGGAACTGATAAAACCTCTAGTTTTCCTAAAATAACCTTTGCGTTCGCAAGCTCATTACTGCGGCTAGCATGGGACATAAAATAAATTTTCACGTCCAGCTACATCTGTTTATTAAAGCTCTCCTAAACAAATTACTATCCCTTCAATTAAAAAGTCACTCAAATACGTAACTGAAGTCTAGGACATGTATTAGCATCGGAAATTGCACAAGTCTATTCCAACGTCTATTTTAGCTAAAACTGACCGATAACTTTACTTGATGTAATTATGCAAGCACAATTGCTTCACAAGAAAAGGGCATCGCATTTAAGGATGTGGATGAGCGAACAAAATGCGCAACGCTAAAGACGTCCAGAAATTCTCGCATCAGTTTCCGTTATTAGATTTCATGAGATAGTTCACGTACTGTACGTTCAGAAACAGCTACCTGGCTGACGTATGCAATTTAAACCTGTATTTTTATCTGAAACACTCGTGAAGGGCGACGTGTGTCAGCAGCAAAAGTTGCCCGACTGCTGCTAATAAATTAGTGGTAGGATTTAATATAAGCTAGTGCACATGACATGGGGGGATAGGCTGGCACCCCGCAATTTCAGAGTAATCCTGCGATTTGTAAAAAAAATCGAGGAATCCTGGCAAACAGGTATGGGACGATCAGCGTAAGAGGCAGCTTGAGTTGGGTACGCGAATATAGACTACCCAAAACACCAGCGGGTCTAAAAGAAGGGCTAGGTTAATGTTGAGGTTAGTGTTAGGATTATGGTGAGGTTTGGGGGGAGGGTTGTGGTCAGGGTTAGGGTTAGTTTTAGGTTAAGGAAGGCGAGTGCCCATATTAGGTCTAGGAGGGGCAGGGTTGGTCTTAAGATTGGGGTTAAACATTAGACATAGTAATGAGGGCACCTGGAAGATTGGCGTGAGGTCATCGACGACACTAGGGCATCCTTATTCCCGGGTTCGACCGAAGTTTGAAACCCATCATGGGTGCTGAGTTAGAGCATATTTTTCAGTAGCGACGGTGTGGCAGGCAACGTATGGAATTATTTGGTCCCAGCAACTGCAGAGGAAGTCTCAAGACCGGTTTTCTCTGAGTGAAGAGCTGCGTACGCTGTGTGACGGTCATATATTTGTGAGAATGAACCAAGTTACCCAAGGCCAATCAAACATAGCCATTATTAATGAAAGCCCCGTTCAGACGTCACGGATTCGTTACCACTAACATTTGTGGGCAGTTCGACGTAGTGTGACATTTTTAAGGACAGTGTGTGAAGTCTACATCCTCCGGATCTAAGACACTGACGACAATCGTTCTGTTGAAGGATACAAGGAGACATTGGTTGGAAGTGAATTTTATTTCCGAATGGAGATTCTGGAAACAGTGCATGAGTGACTCCTGAGGCGTCTGAATGACTTACAATAGGGCATCCAGATCAACGACGGTTTCTGCCGGTTGTATTGGGGCGTGCGGTCGGTGACTGATGGGTATTGCAGGAACAAACGAAAGTTGCAAATAGGAGCAAAGATACGAGTCCCAGGAAACCGTCTCGAGGAACAAGGCATAATTGTTGGAAGAAGAGATTCTTTCACCTCACTGTTGGGATTTCTGCGCGAACCTATCATCAGCGACGATAGCAGATACAGGTAGTTCATGCACAAGAGGCTGCAGTATTTATAGGACGCAGTCACCATGCTACCGCATGCTAATGAAAATTCCCAGCTCCCCCTTCATCAGGGATTGTTGCATTTGGTGTCATGACTGTTGGAGGGCCGATTTCACACAGCGTTCTACCCTCCTCGCAATCCAACGACAATAAATGTCAAAGTGGCCGAACATCGACGTGAGCGCAGTGACTAGCAATGCTGAATAGCCCATCTAATCGTGCTTTACGCAATCTAGTCTCTAATTCCGTAGAACGCAGTCTTTAAATAAAATTGGGGGTCTCGAACCCCGCGTGAGAATACAAAAGTGCTCATATTACGTTAAGTTCCTTATGGTGTGACGGCCATTCTAACAGAGTTACACCTTCCCTGGCAACCTTTTGAGTTCCAAATCACGTTTGCTTATCTGTCGTAATAAACTCCTTTCAAAGACTTCAGCTGACCTCGCTCTCTCTCGTTTTCATTGATTTTGCATCACACATCTGTCCGAATCAAGTCGTCTATGAATAATATCAAACGCAGTCGCTAATGTTGTACAAGGCCGCCACTTGACACTTGCTGTACACGGACTCTGGTTTTATCAAAGTCAAAAATGCCAAGATGACCACGTTAAAAAGGTGTTGCTCTCTGACCGCGGTCTTGAAAGAGGCTTTAATTGTGCTGCCAACTGGTAGTCCCGCAACATGCAAGTCTTAGCGGATCGGGATAATTTCAGGCGTCCTAGATGTGATCTAATGTGGAACGAGTTGAACGGCTATGGGGGCCGCATCTCGTTATCGGTCTAATCCTCTCACCAGCCCCCACGCATCAGTGGCCTGTCCTTCCCCTAACGGTTGATTGTTGTTAAGAGCGGGTCGAGTGACTGAGGGGGCGCGGACTTTCGTCTGACGCGTGTCACACCAAAGTGCAAAGTAGCGCCCGACTTAGGCAAAATCAACACAGCAAGATTAGCACATGGCATCGGTCAACATGCTCTATGATAAGGGGGCAGCACACGACCGCTCGATCATCGTTGTAGACGATTTTCACCGCGTGCTTCACAACACGGTGAGAGCAGAGACGGTGACTCGCACATGACTTACTGTATGATGATAGCCGACTTGCGTTGCATCTACTGCATTCCCTCCTCCCTACTCAGCTGAGCACGGTGTCAAGACGGACTCAGGAAGACCGAAGACGAAAGAGGACGCAGTTGGCTGGCCAGACGCAACCCAGCACCTAGGCGTACCACCAAACCCCCTGGTCGCCAACGGATACTAACCAGGATTTTACGCAACTGCTCGGATCCAGCGGGCTGGAAATGTCAAAGAGGCCACATCAAGAGGGAGCCATTGCAGCCTGACTCGCAATCCGCCAGTCGGTCATTCCACACAAAAACACGCTGAGCTGCCTGCGAGGTATGAGTTACCCCGTCAGTTGACATCTTTCCTGGCCACGGCCTTTAGCGCAGCGTTATAGCTTCAAGCGCGTCAGATTTGTGTAGTGTAGAAAATGCGCTGAGACCTCGACCTCACCGTCAATTCCCATTACAGTTTTCAGCCACTGTCCGAGTTGATGAGTGCTTGGTGCTGAGGATGGACGCAGTGGCCGATGCGGCTACTGACCTCATCTGCGCGTGCCACATGTACGACCTGATCCTCCAAGCACAAGCATCAGAATTTCAGAGAAAAGCAGGTGGACGGCCTGGATCTCACATGAGTCTGACTGCCGGAAGTCGCACTAAGGAGCAACCATTGCAGTCTGACTTCCAGTCTGATATTCAGCCAGTCCACATTAATCGAAGCTGAGCTGACTGCGAAGTCTACGTTCCATCGTCAGTCGGCAACCTTCCGAGGCACGGCGCTTAATGCGCCGTGATGGTCTCAAACTCAGATCACACATGCCGAGTGAAGAGAGGGCCGAGGAATACACTTCCCAGTTACGTAAGAGGTGTCATTGGCGTGCTTGTGCTGTGTGATGTTGAATGTGGTCATTAAGCTGCTGGTGCTAATGAGGTAATATATGTTGAAAAAATAGACCCAGCGGTGTTCTACCACAAGTTTTCATGAATGTGCGTATAACCGAGTAGGCCCGTGTGGTGGTTGAATGTGCGTGGTTAGTGCGGGAAATTGAGCCGATGGCATCTGGTGTATGTTGGTGTTCCAGGCACTGATTCGCCAACCTCTGTGCGATGGATTCGCAAGTGACCGAGGCCGATGCACGAGGTAAGTGTGCAGTGACAATGTGGGTAGGATAAGTTGGGGGATATTGATTGAGTTGCCGTTGTGATGCTGCTAGCGGAGGTTGCGCTGGCCAATGTGAAACTGATTGGGCTGGGGATGGCGGGCTGGTCGATATATAAGTTGTGTTAGGTGTGTTGATACTGCGGCGAATTCTGCTGTTTTCGATACGCATGTGACCAAATAGGCCCACGTGGTGTCTGAGCTTGCGTGGATATTGAAGGCGGATGCGGCAAATGGATGTTGTGACCCCTGGCACTGTTGCGGCGACGGCGGCGGCAGTGCGACATATTCGCATGTGACCGACCTGGACGATGAGTTGGGTGAATTTTCAGTTGCGATGGGGGACAGGCTAGGAGAGAATCCATGTCGCTGGAAATAGGGGTGGAAATAGTGAGGGTGGTGGTTGAAGGGCCGTCAAGAGAGTTTTGTTCGGTGATGGAAGTGGGACATGGGGAATTCGCTGTCACTGTCGCAGAAGCTGCGGTAACCGACGACGGCAGGGCATGGGGATGCCGAGCATCGGCGGTAGGAGCGGTCTTCGTAGTAGATGCAACGGGGGTTGAAACAGGGGCGGTAGGAGAGGCAGCGGTTGAGGCTGTCGGACTGTCCGGCTGTCGGTGGGTTGGATCCTGCGATGTCCGACATGGCTGATCCGTTATGTTCGTAGACAGTTCGGACATGTTGGGAATGGGAGGGGGTTGGCGTTGCGAGCCGGGAAGGCCTTTTGGCTGTTGCAACAGCGAGCCAATTTGTTTCACAGATGGTTCCTCTGGTCTTCATTTCTCTTCTCCAGGCCGGTCGGCTCTGCACAAGGTCATCGAAATCTTCAGGTTGATCCGTGTCTTTGTAGCAACGGGGTTGACCTTGACGATATCTCCGTAGAGTAGTCGCTTTGGTAGGCGTTTGCCGTCTTTTTTCACGAGGTAGACACTCCCTTGTAGCCAGTTGACACAGCATAATGTAAATTTTGAGGATTCCAGTCCGTTTCGAAATTTTTATGTCGGGGATCTTGTCCTACCACCGCAGCTTTTGCATCCGACGGATACAAGCGATACCGAAATTGTTGAGTTTTCGCCCTTGTTTCTCATGGACTGTCCAGGTCTCAGCACCATACAGCAAAGTCATCAAGGTGACGGCTTGCTTCATCTTTACCTTGATGTGGATGTGAAGACCGTGGTGATTCCATACGTAGTTTTGTAGTTGGTCGAAAGCTTGCCTGCCGGTGAGCCATTTCGTCGTCGATTTATTGCAGCGAACGAGTGTGCTGCCTAAGTAGGCGAAGTGGTCCACGGTCTTCATTTTGGTCCTGATAATGTGGATTCGAGGGACACTGTAATGTAGGTGGACTAGCTCAATTAATGTCAGCTGAGATTCTGCAATGCGTTTTCGTTTCGAAAAGATTAATTAATTAGAGTTGTACAACGAATCAACATGCAGCGTAATTCCATAATAATTCAGTTACCTCAGAATGGCGGCTTTCGAACGATCTTCTCTTCTGCTGCATGCAAAACCTATACTCTGTAAAAAGTGTCCAACTATGTGGCATGCATTTTTCTCATTGATTTTAATGCCCTTAAACATTCAATAATATTCTATAGAAAATATGCATAAAAATATTCATTTTGTATTCATTCGGTAGAAAATTTCGTCTTATTCAAATTTTATACTCGAAGGAAGGGCAAAATTCGATATTTAAAAAACTTCTAATTGTGAACTCTTTTAGTACCGCGAAATGGCTGTTCATAAAACGCTATGTCTCTACATTTACCAATGGGGCTTATACATTTAATAATATGGCTTAAATCCACGGTTGCATTTTATGAGCTACGTATATACTCTTCTTAATGCTGTAGATAAATGTATGGTATTCCGTACGCGGAAAATATGCGGCTTGTAGTTTAGAAACACCGAATGCAAGTGTAACTGCGGGTCAGATTCAATATTATTCGAAAATCGTAAAAATGTGAAGCATTTTTTCCCGAGTATGAACTGAAAACAGGCATTTACAGCAGAATTTATTGGGGCCAAAAAATTTCGTGACGGTTTTTCAATTTTAGCCTGTCTCTGCATAGCATAGGCAACGAATGGAAGCGCATAGCAGTATAAATTTGTACAGAATGGCAGTACATAAGAGCAAGGTCAAGGTTCAAGGCAATGAATAATCATATAAGACGTCCACATGAGCATCATATATGAAGCGTGCAAGATAACCACGAATATGTAAAGCTTACTTGATGCGGGCAGTTTATGTATCTATGGTCTCCCTGGAGCAAATATTTCTCGCTCTTTGAAAAAGAGTAAGTACTAGATTTATTTTCCATTGTATTGATGCAAAACTTTTAAAATGTAAGTATTGCCCTTTCCACGTAAATTTATGGATGACGGAGCGTCTTCATTCAGATGTAGATCAATCATTTACGGCCAAAGTTGACGGAACAGTCCGTTCCGAAGAAGCCCGACATAACATGTCTACCTTTTAAGGGTGACAACGTCTCAAACACAATCAAGCGACGCTTGCCTTGCACTAGAGAAAGAACGTACAACGCAAAGGTGCTTATCTTCATCAGTTCCACAAAAAGCCTTCCAATTAACCGGTTAGAGGATGCCTCGCCATTGCACGCCATCCCAAATTGTGTGCATGAATTCACATGCACTTGCGGATGCAAGTACATTGGGCGAACGCAAAGGCAATTGGCAACCAAGGCCGCTGAGAATTTGCCTAATTGGCAAGAAAACAAAACTCCGCGTTCGTCTATAACGAAACACCTGTTAAATAACGGTCATGTTGTCGACCCTAAAACATCTTTTCGAGTACCTGTCTGAGCGCATACAACTCGAACCTTGCGTTATTTAGAAGCAGCTTACACACGGAGGGAGAAACTAGACCTGTGCAAGCAGTTAGATCATGTGATCAATCTGCAATTGCCCTGGTAATCTCACACCTATAGTTTCCCCTGACTGTGATTTGTTAGTAACATTCCGTCTCCCCTTTTCCTTTATGATGCTTATGTGGACGTCTTATCTGATTATTCATTGTCTTGAATCTTGACCTTGCTTTTATGAGCTGCCATTCTGTACAAATTCATACTGCTAAGCGCTTCCATTCGTTACCTATGTTATGCAGAGACAGGCTGCAATTGAAAAGCCGTCACGAAATTTATTGGCCCCAAAAAATTCTGCCGTACATGTCTGTTTTAAATCGTCAAGATTTTAAAAACCAAATTATGCCCTTCCATCAAGTATAAAATTGGAATAAATCATGATATTCTACCGAATGAGTGAAGGAGTAAATATTTATATATATATATTTTCCATGAAATATTAATGAATTTTTAAGGACATCGAAAATCAATGGGAAAAATACATGCCATTTTAGTAGTCATTTTTTACAGAGCGTACTTTTTGCATGAAGAGTAAAAAAGATCATTCAAAAGCTGGCATCCTAAGGTAATTGACTTATTATAGCATTTTGCTGCATAATGTTTAGTTTTACAGCATTACTCAGTTAATCTTTTCGAAACGAAACCCCATTTCGGGATTTCAGTTCACATTTCATGAGTTAACCCACCTACTGTATGTGGCAATGGGTGGTGACTGATGTATGGCCACCGTTTTGTCCGTGTTGGTGATAAGTCCTGAAAACACATGCGACTATTTGATCGTCTCAAATGACGACGTCCATCAATCACCCCACGGCATTTGCGCAGCACCGGTGACTTGCGCGGGAATTAGTTTATGCTGACGCCCACTTGTATTGCATTTATCGAATTTTCTCTTTCCTTGCCCACCTTGAGTACGTGGCAATACGGTGACAAGACGACAAAAAGCAGACGTGGCCCAGAGATGGAAAAATCCAACGGTCCGTTAAGGGGGGTCAATCATGACCTGGTCATCTTTATATGTGTCAGGCTTCTATGAGGTCAGATCGGTTCTCACATGGGTGCGACGGCAATAAAGGGCTCTTTGAGAAAGAGCCGTTACAGTCGCACGCGGATATTTGACTGGGGCCTAGTTATCTCGTCATTTGGTAACCTTCTGAGCCACGCCTTTTAGTGTCTCAGACTTGTAATGATTTGCGAAAGGGGCGGATTCCCCAATGTCAGCCTCAACCCCTCTTTTCTCTCTCCCACCCATCGGTCGAATGACCGAGCCGATCAACCAACGTGTTGTGAGATTAAGCGAAATAGCTAACGCTGCGTGAAAACCTACGTCTAGGGCGTGCAACACACACGTACGACAGCTTGCGAGGGATCCTAGCGGTTCGACAAACGCGTACCCTTATTTAGTCAGACACAGCACATCGGTGGGGCAGCCCGTTGTAGTGACTGATTTAACCAATCAAAAAAAATAACGAATATGCATATCCGAGTGGCAAAGAGCAAGCTAGACCCTGTCAGCCGAAAAAGAAAGGTAACGGGTGGAGGAGGGACGATCTCTGTTACTGCTTATTTTTTTCCGACACACACACTTGTACAGCTACTTCGGGTCTCCAAAAGAACCAACATTATTGTATTAGACTTGGGCAGTGGTCTATAAGCGCTTTTTAAATCAGATCAAATCCCCAATTGCCCGGGAAGAAGACGGCGAGGTAGGTCGACTGAACACGACTTTTCCAAGCTAAACTAAGTCTGGCTGGCTTTTGAACTAACACATCGGACTACAATACGCTGTTGGGTTGTTGTCAACGGCTGTGGTAAATCGGCTGTTTGGCTTCATGGAGGGGTTAGTGTGCGACAGCGTGTCGCTCGTCTACTTGGCGGTCCGACTGATTCAGTTCTGCCGCATCAGACAAGAGATCTCCTGTTAAGTCGCAAAATCTGCTTTGATGCAGGTGTTTTGAGGATGGGCTGTGGGTGCACCAAAAACTTTGCAGGGAAATGCCTAGATCCACGCAAAATAAACAATGATTGTGCAAGGAAAACTAAGCTCCTCTGGTTGGATCGGCCGTCACAACATGACTATAAGACAGCTGATCTCGAGGATTTAGATTAAGAGTTAGCAGGGCAGTATAAGTAGTAAGACCGTGTGTATCAGAACAGAGCCTCGGGAACGGTTAATGATTTTCCCTCGATGTAGGCACAAGTTGCATAGCGAGTCACAGATGACAGTTCGACCGTCGATTTCGACGATGTCCACCGTGTGCCCCAAAGCAGATGGGAGCAGGGACGGTGACTTGCGCAGGGGTTTATAGTGCCAGTAGACTTGCGCTGCATCTACCTACACTCTCTCCTCCTCCCCCGCCTGGGCCCGGTGTCAAGACAGAGTCAAGAAGACCGGAGACGAGGGAGGCCGCAGGTGGATGGCTCGGATGTATCCTCACCTTGGCGTTCCACCACACCCCCTGGTCCACACACCAATAACCAGGATTTCAACCAACACAACAGAGATTTGGAGGCTGGCACGGCCGAAGCCGCACCTGGGCGTGCCGCCAACGCCTGGCTCGGATCCCACACTGTGGTGGGAATGCCATAAAGGCCACATTAAAAAGGAGCCATTGCAGCCTGACTCTCAGACCGCCTCCAGTCAAGGAGGAGGTCCAAGGTACCCCGTCAGTTGGCAACCTTCCAAGCCACGGCTTTTAGCGCACCGTGATAGCTTCAAGCGCGTCAGATTGATTATAGTGAGGAAAATGCGCTGAGTCGTCGACCTCACTCTCCCTTCCCATTCCCACACCCCAGCCACTGTCCGAGCCGGTCAGTAGACTGGAGTGGGGAATGGGCGCGGTGGCTGACATGGTCGACTGACCATGCCTGCGCGCGCCACAGCACGACCTGGCCCCCCATACACACAAACACCAGGATTTCACACAACGGGGGTTGAACGGCGTGTCTCCCACTTGCGTGAGAGGGCCGTGGAAGGTGCTGTTGCAGCCCGTCCTCAGCCCACCAGTCCGCCACTACACACAACACACACACACACAACATGACGAACTGCGTGAACCGAGAGCGGGCCTCAAT